CAATTCACTCCAAAATGTATTGGGTAGTAATACATTTTCTGTTGATGCCAACTGGTGACGGAGGTTATTTTAAATTCGACTAATCAACACATAATGACAGGTTTTTTTTCTGTTCAGCTATAGTCATTTCAAATAACATTCAGAAATGACATAACTTTTCAATTGATCAAATCTATCGAAAGTCAGGACATGTTTCTGATAGTATATGTTCACTGAGCTACATAGCAACTTCCTGATTTACTACGCTTTTTTCAAAGAACACTCATATTTATTTATTTGGCTTGGAATAATGTTATTTTTTAATTCCAAATAATTGATAATGTCTAGTCAGCAACAGAATAATCTACGTTCGTTTATCATACACACACACACACAATGTTTTTCTAGTTAACACTTTTACATAAAAGGTTGGAAAGTGACAAAAGAACATGGAACAACTAGTAACAAATAAAGCGTTTTATATTCTATACATATCACTTTATTGAATAAATGTTCATAGAATTTCAAGCCCTATCAATAATTATTGATAAAGAAAATATAATTGTTATGATATATTCTCTGAAAGTGTTGAAGTTTTAATCGATCAAGAACGTATTGACAACAGACTGTATAATAAACAAACTCATTACAACAAGATAAAAATTATTTCATTCACATCTAGGATGTCATTAAAAGAATGAATGAAATATATGCTTTGTGTATATTAGAAAATAAATTGGTAAATATTTTATTATAGTCTATAACGCAATAATTTCCAAAGCTATTAAAATATAATTTTAATGGTTGAATTCATGAGTCAATTGAAGCTCGACAACCATGGAAAACCTAGAAGCACTGAACGACCGTTTCTTCCTAGTATGGGATTCCTCAGCAGTGCGCATCCATGATTCCGCCTCGCGAGATAAATAAAATATATTTAAATAGATAATTACATTGTAGGACTATATATTCCTACCTGTAGGATCCCTGTAATCATATCTTTAAGAATTTAAATACAAGAAATTCTGTCCACCTCTTTGTAAATAAGACATCATAAATCATAAATAAATTATGCATTGGATAAAATAAAATGTAATTGCAATTGCATAATAATGGATTAAATGAACGGGTATACGTAGTTTTATTAATGATAAATTCTGTACTACTAATCATCTGGCTTCCAAAAAAACGGTTTCACAATTATTATAGTTTATGCATTAATTTCTGTTGCTAAGTGATACTCTTGAGTGGTCACCTTGACGTAATCAATAATTACACGGCTACTCTATTTTTCAACAGTGGTTAGCAATATATATATCTATATCTATATCTATCTATCTATCTATCTATCTATCTATCTATCTATCTATCTATCTATCTATCTATCTATCTATCTATCTATCTATCTATCTATCTATCTATCTATCTATCTATCTATCTATCTATCTATCTATCTATCTATCTATCTATCTATCTATCTATCTATCTATCTATCTATCTATCTATCTATCTATCTATCTATCTATCTATCTATCTATCTATCTATCTATCTATCTATCTATCTATCTATCTATCTATCTATCTATCTATCTATCTATCTATCTATCTATCTATCTATCTATCTATCTATCTATCTATCTATCTATCTATCTATCTATCTATCTATCTATCTATCTATCTATCTATCTATCTATCTATCTATCTATCTATCTATCTATCTATCTATCTATCTATCTATCTATCTATCTATCTATCTATCTATCTATCTATCTATCTATCTATATATATATATATATATATATATATATATATATATATATATATATATATATATAATATTCGGGAAGGAAACTAACGAAAGTCTTTTATAATGAATATTTTTGTGCCAATGCTATGATTTAATATGATTGACTATTATCATAAGTATGTAAAATTTGTATGAAATAATCTTTTCATCAGTATCTGAAGTTATTCAAACGAAAAATATTCTCAAACTGCCGATAAGTGAACAACATTCTTTTTTGTGACACATAATCAACTTACCAGCACTATTAAAATTTTAGATAAAAAAAGTGAAATAAGTATAATTTTCAAGTTGATTGGATTATGAAGATAATTAATTTTTTTCAAAATGATATATATTAAAAATCACGTTAGTCCAATAATAAATATAACCAAAGACTATCCTATTTAGTTATCTTTATCGGGATCCTCCATTCATTACAATTCATACACGAAATCTTTATGGAAACAGCATGAAAATTCAGTGTTGTTTCCTCTTGGAAATAATTAAGATGAATGAATTGAATTTATTCACTCCAATGAACAAATAAAATAATATCTATGTTGTAATACGTTCAGTTATCTTTTTTTTTTAAAAAAACATAGTTACTTTTAATTATTCCATACAAAAATCATTTCTTAGTTAGTTATTCAATCGTCACGTTCCACGAAACAATTAATAACGATTTCTTTTTTTTTCAAGTGATGTGTAAATGTCCTAATGGAAAATACAATGATCTTTTCTAAGATTTATGATATGCTTTATAAATAAAAAAACATACTTCGTTGATAAGTGGAATGATCTCTATTAGTTACTGTCCGTAATCTATAATTATTTATTTACATACTTTCTATGTTTTAAAAGTTATTTAGGTATTTTGCTTCTCTTAATTATGAATAGATTTTATACAGAAGATTTTGGTTCGATAAGAAAATGACATTTTTCTTTTGAGAAATTTAGTTATTCAACAAAAGATTATTTTATCAGAAGGGGGTTTTGTGGAAATTTTAGTAATTTTATAGTTTAATTCATGAGTCAACTAAAGCTAGACCACCATGGAAAACCTGGAAGCACTGAACGGCCACTTCATCCTAGTAGGGGACTCCTCAGCAAAGCTCATCCACGACAACGTCGGTTGCAGGCTTAATGGTTTAGAGGTTAAGCGTTAGTGTTCGTAGAATGGAATCTCGCGTAGCGGGATGGTGGATATGCACTGTTGAGGAATCACATACTAGAACGAAGCGGCCGTTCAGTCCTCCCAAGTTTTCCATGGTGATCAAGCTTCGATTGACTCATGAATTCAACTATAAAAAGATTATTTTTTATTTGAGACCTCGATAAGTTAAAGTTAATCATCATAATTCGACTATGTGTGCTGTGTTAAAATCTTCATTAGAAAATGCAAATTTAATGAGATTTATTTAAATGACCTTTTTGTTCTTAGTAATAAAAAAAAATAATAAGTAATAATACCAAGGATGGACTTGATGTTTTCAAGTATCTGACGAGGTGACCTATGTTCAGTTGCGAAACGTCAGAAAGTCAAGTTTCTTCAGATCGAGATATCAAAAATTATTATTATTTTACTATTAAAAGCGTTTTTATTTAATGCGATGTAAGATTTTCTTGTATGTTGCAAAATATTACACATAAACATTACACGGTCGTCAAGTTTTGATTCAAGAATCATGCTTTACATACATTTATCTATGTTTACTATCACAACTCTAACTAATATTCGCTTATTATACTGCTCCCTGAAATCATTCAGTAAGCCTGAATTTAAGAACATACAAAACTTTGCACTTGCCCAAATATCATGAGGTACGTTTATGTAATACACAACAAAGGCTTCAGATGTTTCCTTGACAGATATTTATATTTCTCATTCGGTAAACTTTATTTTATTTTCATTCATATTTTCGTCTTTACTCGACCTTTAAAATACCAAATATAACTTGTCAGGTAAATAAAGCCACGATATACCTTACTTTCAGCTTTATACGATAGATTCATCATTCGATGAACCGCTCAGTGTATGGTAAATTAAAAAGCAAATAACTGAGACTGATACATCAGTGAGTACTGCATTTTATTTGCACATTATCATTCAAGTAGGTATAAGAGAAATCTGAATTGAATACTCTAAGTATTGAATGATATTGACATTTATTTCAGTTTTTAAAATGTATTCACATGACTAGTGCATTTTTAAAAATTCATTAATCTGACCCAGTGATTCTTTTGATGTCATGTATTCGACCAACTTGACTATGTGAGAAGATAAGTCCATTTGCAATGAAACTTAATATGACTTAAATCTAAAATGCAATAGATTACGTTATTACGAATCTCTCAATATATTCAATTTTACCATACAGGACGAAAATTGGCTAATTTCTGCATTCAACATAAGACTTATTCACAGTGATGAACAATATCATGATCTTGTATAGTTATTGGTTTGTGATAACACTTATGATTGAAAAAATAACCTTTTTAGTATTTCAGTTGCTTTCACGAACAACATTTTTATTTTTTCAATTACCATTTTAGATATGATAATAAAAATATTGTAGACACCAAACATAAGTTTATAAAGAGGACTGAAAAAACAGATTAAATGTTTTCTACAATTTTGAATTATTCATAATTCTAGTCAATACTTATGATATCTAAGAGAATTAATATGGGACACACACTAGTAAGATGAAGAACCTAGAAAGGAATGGTAGGTAGATCAGTAAATTTAAAGTTTACTGTTTTCTTTCCTTACACACCCTCTTGCAAATTCTCTTACCATTTATCCTAGATTTATTCACCCATTTAATTTTCAACCAATCGGAATCCAGATATTTGTTTTCTTCCGTATACCAGAAACGGGACTCAGTTATTTTGACCAATGAAAGTTCAGTACTGTATCCTTCATCATATTAATAACTATATTCATTTTATTTAAGCAACAAACACTGATGAAAATCAATACATCTTGAGATTATCGTTGTTGTTATCATTATTAATAATATTACTGCTATCAATACTGTTACTATTTCTACTTCCAATTAAGATAAGTGGACTATCAGGACATAATACTGAGAAAATAATTTTGACAAGTATTTTCACCAAAATATTTATCAATTCCAAAGAAAAATCGGTTTTGAAATTAAAACATTTTACAGGGAATTTTATATACTGAACTACTAACATATATACATATAAATTTGATAAATCTCCAGAAATGGTTGATGACTGGGTGATTAAAACTATGTATGCAACGAAACGGCGCAGAAAAAATCCTAAAAGGTTAGTAGATAGAATGGTACTATTTTTTTATTCAATAACCTTTTGGGGACACATTTAATATGCATTTTATTTTAGTGACTGACTTTGTAAACATGTAATATTAACATCCTTTATGGAATAATTATTTAGTTAGCATGTTATTACATTTACAAGAGTTCCATTCGTCAGACTGAAAGTCCTTCAAACAGCTGAAACAATAGCCATCCGGATGAAGAAACCGGAGCTATGTGTACAGAAGAAATATATTCAACCACTCCTCCTCCCCTGGCCAACATCAAGGCCAATTAATCAATCGTAATCTTAACTATTGAATGACGTAATTTGACTATGACCTTTCGTAGTCAATTGTAATTTTCTCAGTTATCTTTATTCATAAATCATTGTATTATTATTATTATTGTTATTATTATTTTTCGTATTCATTATTAATCTCCCCTATACATGATTCTTCCCTCCTTATTACGTCTTACCTATTTGATCGAATGGTAATTGCACTATTATTTTTCTCACCCTACTTGACCCATATTTATTCTGATCATAGATCTTAAAATCTCACTGAACATAAACTCAGATTCAAGTTAACATTCTTTATGAGTCATAACAACATGCACAATTTTATTGTATTTTATTTACCACAATCCTAAATTCACATGCTTTAAACTATGTACTTTACCCTTAAACTGGCCATTTTTCGGATTATTAATTTGGATATATAATTGTAGAACCTGAAGAGAATTTATCGAAAAGAATATTCTTCGTTCAAATACTAGTCTTTTAATATATATATATATATATATATATATATATATATATATCCATAATCATGGTTATTACACTGTATAAAACTTAAGCTATTCAAATTCGTTTGAAGATAACAAGTTATAATTTGTCAGTGAAATTCTTTCTAGTGCATATCAATAGATGATATTAAAATAATATCTTGTCAATTCAAGATATAATCAAAATGTAGGTAGTCTTTACTTTTAAAGTAATGTAGCATCATTTTTAACAATACAAACCAATAAATGGCCTTATAATCCAACATATAATTAACTCAATAATAGTTAACATAAACTATGGATGAAAGGAAGGAACGAATTATTGGACATGGTGGATAAAAAAATACTTGGTCTATTTAATATGTTTATTTAAAAAACTTGGTGACATAATTATTGTGAAAGATTCTTACTTTTGCAGTATTTATTGATATGCAGAGAAATTCTACAAAGAGCTTCTGATCATTTAAATACTATTAAGTTTATCTTTTAAACAAAAGAACATAATTGCTAGTTAGCTAGTTATAATCGAGTACTTCTATATTAAACTTTAATTATCACACTTTAAAATTAACGAAATTGGGAAAAAATTCAAATGCAGTCAAGTCATAAATTTTTGAATGAAAAGCCCTCTTGGCAAAACAAATGTATGAATAATTTTCTATGCACCGATTAGAACGATCAAAAAACATCACTCACTATGTTTTCACTGTATGAGATTTTTTCTATTGAGATCATGAAACGATCTATGCTAAAACTTTGTTGAAAACCTGAAAGCAATAGACGGCCGTTTTCGTCGTAGGATTTGGCTATTCAGAAATGCTCATCCCGTACTTGGGACTAGAGACCAGGGACTTCGGTTTCGTGCTTGAATGCTTAACCTCTAGACCATCGTTTGATATGATATTAATTGAAAATTTTCTATATTTCATAGATTATACACATTTAATGTTAAGAAAAATACTGAATTATTTGATCAACATAATTTTATGTTACAGACTTGAGAAAATAAAGATTAGTGTCGAACTTTCATACTAATTACTGCTAGTTTTAAAATTAGTTGATATACTATTTTTAGTAGCATGAATATGAGAAATCATAGTTACGCTACTGATCATACCTTTACTTTTATCAATTAATGCTAAATAGATTTAGGAATTTTCTTTCTTATTATTAACCAAGACAATACTAATAATCATTTTTATCTGATCAGTATATCATTTGAACAAGTTTATTGTTTCAGTCTTAAAACTTAACACTTCATACTATTTCAATATTCAGAAATATATAATTTACTAAGCAAAGATGGATAGTGACCAGCACTAAAATCCAGAATGCGCGTCTCATCCTACCCGGGAATTGCCAGCCGGATGTACCTGCATCTCAGAGTTGATATTCACCATTCTCTTCAAGCGCCATCATGTTAGCTACTGAGTTCTGATAGCCACTTGCTCGTGTAATGTGTTGAAGCTTAAATTCATTTTGTACAGTTTGTTTGAATCTTCTCATTGATGCTTAAGACTTCAATTGTTCAGTCTCTTATTGGCATATGTGCATCCTGTGTAGATTACCTCGATAATGCCTTAATTCCCAAATAGGACGAAATGCACGTTATGGATTCCGTTATTAACCATCATCCATCTTTGCTTATAATGCTTGTGAATTAAGGCAATATCGAAGCCCACTGTACAGGAAGCGCATATGTCAATAAGTGATTGATCGATCGCAATCCTAAACATCAATGGGAAGATTCAAACAAACAATACAAAATGTATGTAAATTACTGTTAGGTCAATGGATTAGAATAAAATTATTAATATTTAACGTTTATTTTCACTGTCAATATTAATAACTCTTTAGTATAAGTTTGTCAGTTAAAATTTTAAGAAACTTCATTTTCATAATTTTAAGTGATTAGTAGTTGGTTTTCACGTAAAATATTACAGTGTTATTATCAATATTGTTTTAAACTTAAGATATTTGTTACTAGGTTAACCATTGAAAATGACTATCAGGAAGCAAATGATTATCCTGAAGATATTTAATAGAGAATCCCTAAATTTTATTATATTAATACTATTTTTAGATAAATCCGAGTATTATTTAAGTGTCAGAGAATGTTCAGCATTCATTTATTAAGATATGTGCCACAACTGAAGCCATTAAAAAGAAAGTTCTATGATAATTTATATTTAATTACCGTAACTCAATTCAATATTTCATTTAATATTGTAAATACAGTGAAAGTGAAACAGAATGCAGAATATGAGAGAAAGGAAATTAGTAAACAGATGGTTAATTCTCTCCTATAGATCATATCTACTGAAAGAATCGCAAGTGAACTCATCTACTCTCTCTCTCTCTCTCTCCTACCTGTCTATCCAAATACATTCATGCATTTTATTAATATATATTCCATGCATGCCTGTGTTCGTTTTATCATTGACTTTCTTCCAAATAAACCAACTACACACAGTCAAGCATTCACTCACTTCTACGTTTGTCTATGGATTGACAGGGGTAGTGAAAATACACTTCTACCAAAATCATTCTTTCACAATTCAATTTCTCATAGACTCGAATGATTAATATATGATGAATGAATAAGAAATCTGTTCCGCCCAAAACAAAACTACAATACAAGTTCACCAATGCTAACACAGTTGAGTCGTTTTCTGTAAAACAGTATATACTGGAAATTGAAATAGGATAAAGCACGCGACAGATGGATGTCATACAAATATGAAATCTGATTTCAAGATATTATCGATATATTAAGATGATAGTATTCATCAGTAGTATGAGTAACTTCATGGTGAACTCTGTTATCCAGTGTACTGATAAAGATAACTGTTAATACATAAGTATTAGACTTGCATATATACTTGTATAACTCAATTAGATATTAATATATTATTTTAACAAATTCATTTGAATGAATACGCGTTTTAAAAAATCGAATAACAACGAATATTACATGATTAGAACCTAGAAATCCTGGGATAGACTTTTAGAAACCAAGTGCAGATTAATTAATATTCAAATAAATATTTTAATTAGAATTATTTGAATAAAATGCATTATCGAATTAATTTCGATGGAAATAAATGAAAATCTACAATGTATGTATCAAAGCGTCATATAGAATGAAATTTGAGTTGTTTGTTGAACTCTATATAATAGATTCTAGTTGGTTTTCAGCTGTATAGAAGTTTATAATATGCTGAATTTTACTGTTATTCATCTATAATAAATGTTTTATTTCTTATTATTGATGTTCTTAGTATAACTACTTTTCTTTTCGAATATTTTAACATTAACAATGAAACTTTTAAATAAGATCTACATTCCATTTAGTTCCAGTTATAATCAAGATCGTGTTTCAACCTAAACTAATTTTAATTAGTTAGTTCTAGTGAGAAGCTGTGACCAGTGGAGTTTAACCGGGTCGGTTGTGAGATAGTAACTCACTGATGACAATAATGGACGATGGTGAAGTTCGGTCAATTGGTTGAAGTTAAACAATAACACCGTTAGACGCTGGTTCAGTGGTCTAGAGATTAAGCGCTCGTGCGCGAGACTGATAGGTCTTGGATTCGAACCTCACGAGACAGTATCGTGGAGTCACACTCTTGAGGGGTCCCATGCCGGAACTTCCAGGTTTCCCATGACTCATGAATTCAACTCTTAAATGCTTTTATCTCTGGTGATTAGATTTCATTTTTTAAGTTCTGTATAATAAATTTTTCGTACTAGTAAATTTATCACCGTGGCTTTTCGTACTATTCAATTTAGTTGAAACTTAGTGAATTAACTATTACACCATTCAGTTGCGTGGAAATCTATAATAGAATTAAATTCTCTCTTTCATAAGTATATAACAATCTCTGATTATACGTATGATTATAACTTTGAGAAGATTGCATTTTGGAAGTTATACTGTAGAATATGACCAAATAAACTCCTTCAAATTATTTACATTATATTGAAAAATTATGTATCTTGTTTATTATATTTCAGTTTAACTGATTATTCTTTTCTATTTTTAACGCATTTAGTAATAAACCAACATGTTCAGCTGTAATTCAACCAGATCATAATGTGAAATCTAATCCAAGTAAAAGGCATCGTGAACGTTTAAATTCAGAATTAGAACATTTAGCAAGTCTATTACCATTTGAACAAAATGTTATTGTGAAATTGGATAAATTATCTATTCTACGATTGGCTGTCTCTTATCTTCGCATTAAGTGTTACTTCCATGGCAAGTATCCTTCATATACTCTCCTTTCTTTTGTTTTATTTTTAACACAATAATTAAAGTTTTTTTATCATGGATTTTCATAAATTCTCAAAGATAGTATAATTATGCATTTTATGAAGTAGTTATGATTCTATAGATCAAGTTGTGCAATAATAATATGCCATTTAGTTCTACATATTTTATTGATGTATATTAACGTTGCTTAATTTCAAATTATTGTTGCCAATGAATTTAGCAAAGTGGTGCTAGATTTATATTCTGTGTTAATTTAAAACATTTCATGTGAACTCAGATATTTCTTCCAGCTTCAAGTGTAAACAGTATAAAGTATGAGTTGATAATATAACCCGTTGATTGAAAAAATTTTAAAATGAAGTAAAATCTATTACATTTTGCACAAAATTTCTACACAATTCATCAGTTATCATGGATCTATGGAACTTTTTCAAGGATAAAATATTCATAGAATATAAATTACATTCGTTTTTCTCCGTTTTTTTTGTTATATAACCATATAATGACAAGAATAAATCTTTTAAAATATATCCAGGTTTCAATAGTTTAGATCATGAGTCAATTGAAGCTAGACTACCATGGAAATCCTGGAAGCATCGGATGGCCGTTTCGTCCTATTGTGTGACTCCTCAGCAGTGCTCATCCACGACCCCGCCTCGCGAGATTCGGTGCCCTTCTGATACTAATTAACATAAGCTCACTAGTGACTGGCTTCAAGATGTATTTCCTGGAGTTCTAGTGAGAAGCAGTGACCAGTGGAATTCAACCGAGTCTGTTATGTGATAGTAACTCACTGATGACGATGGCGAATGTGTCTCTCGATTTCGTGGATAAGTTAAATTTAGACATTAATACCGTTGGATGCCGGCTCAGTGGTCTAGAGGTTAAACGTTCGCGCGAGAGACTGATAGATCATGTGTTCGTGTCTCGCGAGAAGAGGGTGAGTACTGCTGCGGAGTCCCACAGTAGGACGAAATGGCTGTCCAGTAATTCCAGGTTTTCCATGGTGGTCTAGCTTCAACTCACTCATGATCTCAACTATTGAATTTATTACAATCTCCACAAAATCCCCTTCTGATATATCCAGGATGTTAAAAAATATATTATTATTGTTCTCACTCCTCATTTCTTTGTTATTAGTGATCTAGCTTGATCTGATGTATCACATTGAATTTACGCAATCTTCAACTAACCTTTTAATATAGTTTACTTATATATTTATGGTTGAATGCATAAATCAGTGATTTAACAGAAACAATTAATCTGTATATGGTTTATGAATATAGTTTAAATTCTTTATCACAATATATCCCTTGATTATTATGAGAGAAATCTCTTATTTAGAAATCAGTTTTTGCAAAAAAATGAATAAATAAAAACAACATATAAATAGATCATTCTTTAGAGCTTAGTTCATATCCATATAAAAAGAGATTAATTTTTACATATTTTCTTTGGATAGAATCTGTGCTAAATAAATCAAGTGAATATAAGCGTAAAAAATATTGATAGATAGATTTCTTTCTTCCCTATACATATATATTGCATCATAGTATAACAATCAGAATAGTGACAAGATAAAGACAAATTTGAAATAATTACCTGATCAATATTACTTACTTACTTACGCCTATTACTCCTCGTGAGGGAGCATACGCCACTCACCAGCATTCTCCATCCAACCCTTTCCTGGGCCATCCTTTCCAGTTGTTATTCATCCTTTTCATATCTGCTTCTATTTCCCGACGTAATGTGTTCTTTGGCCTTCCTCTTTTCCGCTTCCCTTCAGGATTCCAAGTTAGGGCTTGCCTCGTGATGCAGTTTGATGACTTGCGTAATGTATGTCCCATCCATTTCCATCGTCTTTTCCTAATCTCCTATCCAGCTGGACTTAATCAATATATATATATATATATATATATATATATAGAGAGAGAGAGAGAGAGAGAGAGAGGGAGCTCAATTATCCAGCAATTATTAAATATATTAGTTATGTTCGGTGCAATTTGTTTTCAATAGTTTATTTTCTTTGGAAAGATAAGTCAATTTATTGTAGATGTTAATCCTTAAACATTACTATAATAAAAAACAAATTATGATTTAATTTATACTAGATAATAACGATTTACCTTTCGATTAATAACGCCTATATTTCTTGAATAATTTACTATTATCATGTTCTCACCAATAACTAGATTCAATATGGATTTCCTGGAGTTCTAGTGAGAAGCTGTGATTAGTGGATTCCAAGGCTTGTTGGGTGTGAGACTGTTATCCACCCCAGACAATGGATGAAGGGTTGGGAAAGATTATGAATCGATTGAAGTTAGATATTAAGAACCTTAGATGCCGGCTCACTAGTTTAAAGGTTAAGCGTTCACGCATGAAACCAAAGGTACTAGGGTCGAATCTCATGGTCAGGATCGTGGGTGAGCGATGCTGGGGAATCTCATACTCGGACGAAACAACCGTACAGTTCTTCCAGGATTTCGATGTTGGTCTAGTTTAGATCGATTCACAGTATCAACAAATTATTTATCTGATATATTAGTATTAATTAAACGATTTCTAAAGCTTATATTTGCAATCTAAAAATTCTCATCGATAGATTTTTAATCATTTTATTGATAATTAATTGACAACTATGACTATCCATAGCATTAAATGAAATGAGAATAGAAAGTGACTAAATATTTATTGGAATTTTCTTATTAGATTCATTTCTAAGATGAAATTACACTGATATTTTCTCGAATAGGGAAACAGTGAAATATTTGGAGCATCTAGCCCTAAAATATTTGATATTTTGAAAAAGTATACATATACTGGTGATGAGATTTTTTACTTCGATACTTATTACGTCAATGACTTAGATATAAATATTGATATCATTTCCAAATATACATTTGAAGAGAGTAATTTTCTAATTAAAAGATATTTTTTATAAATGGGAATGATATGTATGAATATATCACATATATATGTATAACATTTTATGCCATCATAACTTATTACCACCAAGTAAGTATTCATTATTGAGGAATTCCAATTCTCGAATTATTTGAATTGTTTTTCTAGTTAGCAATTTTTTTACCGAGTTAGTTTTATATGGGATGGGGTCACTAACCCCATGCACAACCCTCTTCCATAATCTAAGCTTGGGTCTGGCAGCAGCCCTAGAGAGACTCCAGACGGATATCTTTTTAATATTTCCTATGTTCATAATTTTTAACTTTCGGTTAAAATTGTAAATTTCTCAATTTTATTATTTTATTAAAACATACAATTAATCAATTTTGAGAGAAAGAGAGAAAGAGGGAGAAAAAGTGAATTATACATACAAACAAGCAGATGTTCTATGACAGTTTACTCCGATACCAATGTGTTAAATATCTAGTTAAGAAGAAATTTATATTTGAAGAAAAATTTATAATTATTATTTAAAATACCTTTCTTTACTGTAAAGATATTCCAAGAATAAAAAAAGAAGAAAGTCCATTAATTCACTTTGACAAGCAAAAAGTCAATGGAATTTTTAAAGTCTAGGAAATAATGTTAACACAATTGAGTCATTTTTTCTTTTAATAGTTTAACATACACTACACAAAAAAAGTTATGATATGAAATTGATGATTTTTCTGGAAAAAAATAACTAAAACAATGTTTCAGTGAAATTGAAAACGAGTATCAAATGACTCATATCTCTCCCTTTCTCTCCCTCTCTCCATATATATATTGGCTTATTTCTATATTTTGAAAGGAAGATGTTTATTTATTAATATTATCATTATTATTAGTAATAATATGACTTTCAATGTTCATTGCCTTAAATGTTATGTATTTATATCAGGTAAGTGTACTGCTCTATTTAGAAAAATAAACAAAAATATATATAGGTAAATATATTTACTATATTCTTGTTTCAATATAAAGACAAAAGGTATACACTCAATAAATCTGTTATCGAAAGTCAAGTAAAGTAGTATAAATAATGACTTATTAAGTGTCATTTTTTCCTTGAATTCATTTAATACCTTCACATGTCTACATATTTGCCAAAATAGCCAGTATATACTAAAGTAATAGAAGATAATAACTACATTTCATGCTTTTTTACATGGAGTATTGATATTTAAACATCAGTTATTTATTGTCAAGCTTGTTTTTATTGACTTAATTGTAATAATTGGGATGTAAGCTTACGAATATTTCGATTATAATATAGTTTACAATTAGGGGAGATATTAATTAGACAACATTTAAAAACGAGGGGTCAAGGAACTGCTTTTTCGTTCTAATATGGAACACTTCAACATTTCTAATTTATCACCTCAGCATAAGTCGAATCCAGGACCTTAAAATCTCATGATGAAAGCTTAAACTTTAGAGCATTGTATCACCTGAAATTTCTCAAAACAAGTTGACAACAACGAGACATAATCGTTGATCTTAAACAATCAACGTGTGTCTGATCGTTTCCTATTATTTGACTGAAAAGTATCCTTGTATAAGTTATTTCAATAACTTTCATTAACAGAGGATTATTAACTAGTATAACTTATTTTTGTAAAGGATTCTTAGTTATAATCATAATCTTTCTAGAATGACGCCGACTTTTTGAGTAATCTGGTCAGTAATTTATTACTATTTAAAGGTTATATTTACATAATCTCACCCAATATCATAATATTAGACCATAAAATTTAAAACGTGATATTTGTTAAACGTAAGTTTTATCCACTTATTGTTACTAATTTACAAAAGTTCTTTTTATCAATTGATAAATGACCAATAATCCAATAATTCTGATATCACATAAATGAAATTAATTTTTTCTTAATAAAAAAAAAGTAATTTTAATAGTTGAGAGTTAATTGAAGCTAGACAACAATGGAAAACCTGGAACCACTGCTGAATGCTCACTGCTTCCAGGTATTCCATGGCGACCTGACTTCAAATGACTCATGATCTCAACTATTAAAATTACTATAATATCTACAAAAACACCTTCTAGTACTAATACCGTTTGAACTTACAA